ATAAAACAAAGTTGTAACTAAATACATTTATTTTTGAAATCTTGGCTCCCGTGGGTGGCTTCACTAACATCGATTTAATGCCAGTATTCCCATTTTCATTTTTCTTTCTTCTGAGTAAACCAGTTTCATGAATAACTGTTCTCCAGCCCTTTAAAAACGTTGACCAAGTCTCTATGATACTATTTTACATTTTTCAATATTGATTCTTGTTAGGCACATGATTGCCCATACCATAAACTGTATTTAAACTAAACATGCTATGATGAATGCAGACAAGAATTTGGAAAAAGGAATTCCCTTTGCCTTGTTTCACATAATAGAATGTTATTGGTTATTACATATTGATGTCACCAACTTATTGTTCTATACACACTTGGAAAGCAAATGAATGTGTGTTTTTTTTTCTAGATACACATGGAATCCTCAGGTTTCAAACTTTCAACTTCAAGAGTATGATTTATTTATTTATTTTATTATTATTTTTTTTAATTAGTGGAGGTCATCTTTAGAGAGAGATTCTGTAGACCTCAAGTCAAGGTCAGCAAGGCAGTAGTTTGAGTTTGTTGAATATTTACTGGTTGTGTTTCCTTTCTAAAGTTAATCCACTTGATTTTCTTTCTTTCTTTTTTTTTTTTTAGCACTTTTTCAAATCAATATTAACAAAGTAATAATTGTGCCAAGACAGAATATGAAGGGGAAGTGATACAATTAACCAGTCAAAGCTAAACTTATCTGGTGAGGTTTTTCTACCTTGAGTAGATCAGTGGGATTAATTGTGTATTTTTGAAAACTTGATTCAGTGTAATCCTCACCTGAGGGACACCATTAATACAAATGGCAGGGGTAACTAGTACCATTATATTTAAAATGAACTGTTTTTACGTACATGGTCATCAGATACATCTTGGTAAAATGTGGTTAGAGCTGTTATGTCAGCTTTCTCACTTCCTTCGAAAAGTGTGATATGTTCTCCATCTGTTATATGAGCCAAAGCTAAATAGCTACACTTAGGATGTGTTCTTACTTAGGGCAGTACTTTTATGAAGGTGTGTCATAAAACCATCCAGGTGCCAGCAACCTGCCCAGCTGGTTCCCATTTAATCGGCTTGGAGGTGATAACATTTCAAATGTCACAATGTCTCTTAGAGCACCTAATTGCATTAAATTCTAAAATAACTGTGTGTTCTGTACTATACACACCCAGATGCCTTAGAATTAGCAAACTGAAGCAAACACAAAATCTTACCATTATGTATACTATAAAATGGTGTATCTGTTTAGAAAAAACAAATAAGCAAACTGATTTCACTTGTAAGCATGCAAAAAACACAGGTCGGCTTTTCAGTTTCTGTTGGTCATTGATAAAGACTGATTGATCTCTTTGGGTTAATTTTAAAGAGCAAGGATTTACATGTTATTCCCTTTACTATTTTCAAAATCCTTCAATCAGACTTATGGGCAGTAATCAGAGTGCTCCAGCACTGTCTAAATTAGTATATTTGGGATTAGTAACTAGCATACACAAAGAGCCATACTGATAACTGAATCACTTGAGCTGGGAGAGAGGACAAAAACATTAGGTGACAAAATCAGAATCGACAAAATAACAGAATCGACAAAATAACAGTCGCAAGGATATCAATGTAATAAATAGGACATTTAACGTGAATAAATAAGAAACACCAAACTCCCAAAAGCAGACTAGGGAGACCTGACATAACTGTGAGCTCAGTGTTAGGCTGAAAAGTTACAGAGCTAGCTATCTATCACTAGGCCAGTGTGATCTTAAAAGTGCATTAATATTCCATTCACAAGGGGAAGGCTCTATCTGCTCTGTGCCAGTCAGGGCATGCCTAGAATATTATATTTCTTTTGAGCCGTAGCATTAACAAGAGATTGGGAACTGGAGTGTATCCCCAGGATGGGGAAAGGGTCATGGAGCCCTGTTGTATGATGAACAATCAAAAAAAAAACCTGGGCATATCCAAGTTGAAAAAGACAAGATACTGAAAGGGTCCAGTAGCTATTTCCAAATTCCTGAAGCACTGTCATAGGAAAAATGGATGAGATCTGCACTGGGTAGCCCCAGCGGTGAGAGTTAAGACCAATAAATGGAAAATGTAGAAGGACATCATTTCAGCATAAGGAAGAACTTTTTTAGTCTCATATGAATAGTTAAGGGGTCGCTTCAAGAAATAATGTGTTCAGTAGTGGAAGTGGTAGAACTGAGGCCATTTGACTAAATGGCTGGGATTTTTGTAGTGGGAATTTGGCCTCTGGATGGAAGTAAGTTGGAATAGGAAATATTTAAGGTCTACTCTGATCCCTGAAATTCTTTGAATATATGAATAATTATTGTCTTGGAAAGTGTATAATGCTAACTATCTTACCTCTTTGGGAAAAAGAAAAAGATAACACCATTAGGAATCTAATACATTTATTTGAGCATAATAAAATGACAACTCTTTACTCTGTGTTCTCTATTTGTAAGGATATAAATTTTTCTCTTAAAATGGTCTGTTACCCTCAGCATGAAATTTGAAATTACTTGGGGGGTACATTTTCAAACCTAAAGTTGAAAATAAGCAATTCTAAATGTAAGCAAATTTGTGTTAACCCTTTTTTTTTTTTTTTTTTTTAAACTGGAGCCTAAAAACCTGGAGGGGTTTTTGTCCATAAGGCAGAGAAAACACAGCTGGCATTGTGGCAAGCATTCAGGGCATCAGACGTTTGTTGAAAATGCAATTTGTTAGTTGATAAGGCACTTTAGTGAGTAATTTCCAGTCAGTTGATTGAACATTACAGTTTAAAAGATGTTTTCACATACTTTGGGTCAGAGTTCTGTTTTGAGTATCTGATGTTCTTATTAAAAGAACCAGCTTTTGGAATTGAGTGCATGAATGTGGACATTTTTGCTAGGAAACATGCTACTGGTCTATTAATTCGAGCGCTTGATGAAAGAATGTGTCTTTGTATACTAAAATTTAAAACACCATATGACAAGATAGCACCTGCCACCCCAAACCACAATGTGTCTCCATTATTAAACACCACTTGCTATGCTGCTCGAAGAAATTCAAGGATCAGAAAGCCCAGAAGAGAAGGTCTACGTTTTAGACATTTACTTACTGCTTTTCTGCTTGGAACAACATTACGTCTACAGCAAAAGCAATCACACAGGGGATAAAAGATCTCACTTTCTGAAAACACACTCCTTTCCCTCAAATGTGGTAATGTTAATGTTTATTTTCTCCAGACATCGACATCATAAATCTGCCTTGTCTAAGCCTTGTATTCCAGTATTACAAATACAAGTTGTTCACAAACAGACATCCGTGAAAGTCAGCAAAGCATGACTTAAAAGCTCATACATTTCCAGTACTTTCGACAGAATTGGTTATGACCGCATAGTTAGGGTCACTTCCAGAGAAAACTGTTTCAGGGTCCCAATCGGAATCCCTCTTTCTGGCCTGAGAGAGGAAAAATGTGTGCTGCTCATCACAAAAGAGGCTGGATGAGAAAGATTGAAAAAACACCGCTCAAGTCGCCGCTGATTGGTGGCAGACCCTTACCACATGGGAACAGAAAGGACACAGCACACAAACTACGTGGGCTTCAGGGGTAGCCTAGAGTAACCCCAAAACTTGTAGAATGTCCTGTAAGGAAGCAGATGCAACCCTGCTGTGAATGTACCTTTCACCCCAATGTCAACAGTCAGCTTTGACGAACTCAGCCAATGGAACATGCGTGTCTTGGCCACACCCAGGAAAGCAGGCAGTGGACTTAGATGGCCTGCAATGATTTAAGTAACATTTACCCAGTGATACTCATCTTTTTGGTGAAAACTAAGAATCTTTGCTTTTTTTTCTATGCAAGATACTGTTGGGGGTAAAGAAATTATATAAAATTTTCTCTTCCTACTTTGTGTACAGTTAAGGCTGGATGGAATGGGGAGGAGGTTGAAGGGAAACAGGTAAGCAGAGAACAAATAGGTCAACTTTGCTTCTCGCCACCTCTTCATTATTAATTCAACTACAGATGCTCTTTCCCTTCTCTCTGCTCCACAGACAGCCAGCACCATGAGCCAATGCTGCCCCCTCACCGCCTCCTGCTCCCATCAGGCCAACCAAGTGGATAAACCCAGGGAAACAGAAGGAAGATCTTTTAGGACAAGCTGTGTTCACTGTTTAGAAATAGCATTGAAATATGCAAATTGTGTTCTCAAGGAATAGAAGCAGAGATGGAAAGGTTCATTGTTTAAGTATTGCCCCGTAGCTAATCATAGTACTAAATATTTGGTATTGTTTCATCCTCTGAGCTTTGTCATATAGTTGTTCTCCTGTCTGTTCTCACTGGTCTTGGGTCAAAATACACCAAAACGTGCAAGGGCATCACCAGGCTTAGGCTTTAGTTCCTGTCCTTGCCTCAGACTTGTTTTGTAACATTTAATATATTGATAACCTGCTTAGTGCTTGTGTCTTGATCTCAAAGTGGAATTAACAGACCCACTCTTTAACCTTTCTCCAAGAATGTGGTAAGCCTCCATGTTTTTCTTTTAGGCTATTCCATAAAACAAAGTGAAGAGAATTTTTTTTCCTATGGTAAGAATAGAAAATATTTTGGATGAGATCAGAGTGGTGCCATATTTGAGGCCCGTTTGCAGATAGACTGTGGAAAAGTGAGGTGAGAAGCTTAAAATCTGATGAACCTGAAGAGTGAGCTAAGGGAGGCTGATTTTGAGAAAAAGGACTAAACAGTCCAGAAACATCCAAATTTAGAGTGATTATCCAGACACAGTTAAACTATCTATTATTGGTTAATAGGGTGGGAAAGAGAAGTAATCTAATTGAATAGTCTAAGAACCTCCCCTTTCAAGTATTAAGAGCAAATCCTCCCTGGTGATGGGCACAGTTATACCCCAAGATTCTGGGCTGGGCATAGCACCTGCAGACTGGCGCTCTGACCGAGTGTTTTTATCCTATGTTTCTGTTCCCTCACAGAGCTCTCAACATGGAGGCTCCTCTACTTCCCTGGCATCCACCAAAGTCTGCAGCTCAATGGACGAGAACGATGGGCCTGGAGAAGGTGGTGAGCTTGGGACTTGGTGTCTGAGGAGAAGGGTTTCAGGGGGCAGAGGATGAGTTGGCTGAATTTACTTCAGGAAACTGTAACTTCTCAAGGATTATGAAGTAGAAGCCTAAAGCAACTCAGAGGGATAGGATTGCATATGGTTTCCCCCAGGGATCATATCTACTCTGTGGGAACAGGAAGAAGGAATTATTTTACATCCTCGGAGGCCATAAGTATTCTAAGAAGGCCAGATATTGCCTACTTTGAAAAAAAAAGAAGTAATTGCTGCCTTTGTTTTCCCAAATTCTTTTCATTTTCAGAATATTAAAGATAATTTACTCTCTTGATTGACTGTTAACAGCCCTACAGATGTACTCTAACTAATGTGAGCTCAATATGTGAAAATACGGCTTTACAGAAAGAATTACTTGATGACAATTGCAAAAATATTCTTTGTACCTTAAGCTAGTTCGTTTTAGAATTTCTATGTGATGTGGTCAGATGACCTAGATTCTGGAATGGACTTTTCTACTAACTCACTGGATTGTTTTGGTTTTATTTATTTATTTGAGAGGGGGTTTTAGGGGAAGAGGAAGAGAGAGAATCTTAAGCGGACTTCACCCCCAGCACGGAGCCTGACACAGGGTTCGATCTCAGGACCCTGAGATCATGACCTGAGCTAAAATCAAGAGTCAGATGCTTAACTGACTGAACCACCCAGGCGCCCCTCCCTGGACTGTTTTGGATAAAACTCTTCAGCATTCTACATCTTAGTTCCTCTTCTATAAAATTGTATAAGATTGGAATATATGCCTGTTTCCTCTCTGGGGGTCATTTTCAGACTCAATATTCAAAAGTATTTAGAAAAGTGTACAACGTATAAGATCAAGCCATGTTAAAGAATCAGCATCCCTTATTTGTTTGAAGTGATAGGATTTGATTTTCCAAAAAAAGTACCTTTTATTATGTCAAGTGAGATAAGTGATTTGCACATGAATTATTTCCTGACTACCGTGCCCTATCAGATTTTTTTTTTTTTGTATTTCCAAGAAGTATGAAATTCAACCACCTAGAAGTCTCTCTTGTTCTGCTGTGTTGTATTTACCTAATGAAATGAAATGGTCTTTGGCTAAGATTTTGGCACCGCCTTCTTAGCCAAAAGCCTAAAGGATACATTTATCAATAGGAAAAAAAAAAAAAAAAAATCCCAAGCCATGTGCTCCAAGCAGTTATGCTCCCTGTAGAAGGAAGCATGAAGAACCACCTTTCTTTTCCCATCTGGAGTCAGCCTTGCTTCTGACAGCCGAGGATGGTTATTTTTATTATCTATGTAGTAAAGAGCCTAAGACCATGTCATCTGAGAGATGTTTTACAAATATGGGTGCTTTGCAGTGAATTTGAAACTTCTCCAACGTTCTCCTCTAATTCCCATGGAGTAGACAAAAATCCCCAGGCTGAGTCTTTCAAACAGAAGCAAAATTATTAGCTTCTTGGGGTGTGAGATGGTGGGGATTAGGGAGGGGTGTTAATTGGCTGCTGCTCTCACGTTTTATTCCGGAGACCACTGTGATAGCTTCTAGTGGGTAAAGACTAAAACACCACCTATGAAGAGGTAAGGAGACTACCTAGATCCCAAGGCCAAAAGTAGCAGCAGCAAATGTCCCACATTTGTACAACCCTTTCCAGAAATTCCATCCACCCTAGAATCCAGAGTGGTGCAGATCACAGAACCAGCGTAAGGGTCCTAAAGCAGATGTGTGATAATTGTGAGTTTCCATGTGTCATTCCCTAGTGCTGTAGGCTAATGGAGAAGACAGAAACCTAGGCACCACCTAAGGTTTTAATTTTATTTTGAGAAGAAATGTTTAGTCTCAGTTTATGATGAAAGGTCAGAATAGGAGCGCATTTAGAAAGCACACTAGGTTTCCATCACATTTTGTATTCAGGTTGCCTGAGGGAGCGCTGGGATTTATAACTTTAAAGCATGTAAATTTTAGAGCCCAGCTATAAAAGGCTTTTTACACCCCGAAGATGTTAAAGGTTATCCAGTATATTTATGTGACCTAAGTGTGGCTTATTTAGTTTTATGGCCTTAGATATTTAAAGCATTATTAGGCATTTGTAAAATATTTCAAAATGCATTTTAAGGGGGAAAATGTGTTGTGTTAGTGGCACTAACATAATTGAAACTACAAAACTGTTCTGTTCACAGACATAATAAATATTGCAATTTTAACTCAACATCTGCTATGCAGGTTGCTGGTGAGAACATTTGTCTAAAATCTGCTCATTGATACTGGGGAGTTGGGGGTGGGGGGACAATCAGGTCTTGGTTCATAAGGAATTTTACGGAGATCTCCATTTCAGGATGCAGTAAAGCTAAATGTCCAAACAGCAGGCAGGCTTCATGCTTGTACCATGTCAGGCAGAGTCCCCCATAAGCTCCATTTTTTCTCCTGAGCCATACCCAGGAAGGTCATTTCTCTATAGACAGTGGGTAGTCCATAAACACTACGGATCAAATTGGCATGAAACACATAGTGAAATTTCCTCCTCGGAGTCCCCACGGCCACAGAAAGTGTTGTTTGCCTTCCCATCAGTTTAAGTGGACTCCATCAGTCTTAGGTTTCCTTTCAGTTTATCATTTGTCTTGGTAAAAACAGTTGAGTACACAACGTCTGCGGAGGGTGGGGAGGCAGGGCTCGTCTCACTGTATGGAACGTAACATATCGATTCTGAATCAGTTCCAGTCTATTCGGTGATCCTTCGAAATGTCTCTCTGGTGCGACATCTGTGTTCCCTTTTCTACCAATAAAAATGTACTAATGATTCTTTCAGAAGTGTCGGAGGAAGGCTTCCAGATTCCAGCCACAATAACAGAACGATATAAAGTCGGAAGGACAATAGGGGATGGAAATTTTGCTGTTGTCAAAGAATGTGTAGAAAGGTGAGAAGGATATCGTTTGCATCGCACTTTAAAGGAAACATTTGGCATTATGTTTTCCAAGATTGTGTCTTTATTTGCCGTCTGTGGCACATATGGAATAGGTTAAGGTCTCAATTCCAGATGTTAAAAAAAAAAGAAAAAAAATTTAAAGAAAGAAAAGCCCATCTCACAACAGATTTGAAAAATGTAGTGATTCCTGGGACAATCTATAAATTAAGGACTTTGATTTTTCCTTTTTAATGTACTCAGCAAAACTTTGCCAGATCTTTCAGGTGAGCCTTTTATTGTTTAAAAAAACACAAAACATATTGAACGTTTTTTTCCGATGCTTTTCTGAGACATTTTGTAGAGGTCAGAACCTTCTTGCATAGAGTGGATTTTAACGTACTATCATCAAATTAAATATAATAACCTTGAAAAGCTTTAAAGTGCGTAGGTACTGATCTCAATAAAAATGGTGTTTAATATATTAAAATGTTTTCAGATGAATGAGCTTGGTACTCTTGGGGGCCAAAGGCAGGAGGTTTGGAGTAAAAGGTTTATCCCTGAGATCTAGATACCTAGTCAAGGATAGTGACCGGTGGCTATTAGATGAAATGACAACTAATAAAATCATATCCCAGACTAAGGTGGCCTCAAACCATCAGCCCGGGGTTGAATTTGGAACTCTCTTCCTGAGCAGCTTCTTGCTCTAAGGGACCTGGTTGGCCCGCAGCTCCTGCTTAGAGCTGGTGAGCAGAGCATTGAAAAGTCAGGGGTAACCCACTTCATTCCTTGAGGAAGGTTTCACTGCTGGCCTCTGGGGACTGGTTTCCCCATCACTCTTCTCTGCCCCCAGGAGGCTGGGCGCCCACCAGTCAGCGCTGTAGGAGAATAATGCGCTTTTGCTCAGCTCTACCCTTCAGAGAGAATGCCTTGGACTAGAAGCTTTAGCTGCGTAAGATCCAGAATTTGTTTTTCTCCAAGAGCTTTGATTTAGAAGCCCAGTTTCATGCCATGCTGGAGCTGGAAGTCTACACAGCGCCTCAAGCATCACCAGGGTCCTGAGTTTGGCCAGTGTCCACTGATTTGCTCCCCTGCCCCCTCTGCCATCCTTAGGAAGATGTCTCCCTGACTGAGGTCGCAGACCCCTTGGGAAGATACCCTTGGGCACTAAATTTCAAACTTTCTCCCCCGCAGCATGGCGGCTGGGCTGAGATAGTCCCACCGGGACCAGCAATCCACTGTAGCAGCCCGTCTTGGAGGGACAGGCATGAGAAAAGGAGGGTGAAAAACCCCTTAGGAGTTACTGTGAGGCCACCTTTTCCCCTCGCTGCCCCTCAGTCACCCCACTGCCACCAGTTTGACCATTTGTGGCATCTCTGCCAAATACAGAAAGTTCTCCATTACTTTCCTAGGCCTTACACCTCCAAAAACAGAAATAACCACTACTTACGGAGCATCAACTATATACAAAGCCCATATGATATTTCATGTAATTGTCATAGTGATCCCATAATATCAATATTGTCTCCATTTTATTTTATTTTTATTTTTTTTTAAGATTTTATTTATTTATTTGACAGAGATCACAAGTAGGCAGAGATGCAGGCAGAGAGAGAGAGAGAGAGGGAAGCAGACTCCCTGCTGATCAGAGAGCCTGATGTGGGACTCGATCCCAGGACCCTGAGATCATGACCTGAGCCGAAGGCAGCGGCTTAACCCACTGAGCCACCCAGGCGCCCCTATTGTCTCCATTTTAAAGCAAAGAACCCCTTAAGAAGTTAAATGCCCAGAGTTGCTCAGTTAGTAAGTACTTAGGAAGGCCAGGGTCCAAAACCCACACTTTTGACCACTCTGTTGTCGCCAACGAAGAGTCTCTCAGGAGAATGTAGCTTCGCTGGTCTAGAGTCACGCACACTGCATTTGTGTCCGTACAAAAATTAAACCAGGAAAGCCACTTGTTAAAGCAAAGGGTGCAAGTGTGTGTGTGTTTATATAATTTTATATTTCATTTATACTTTTACATATAGTAAGTCAACTCTTTCTAACTTTTTTTCCACTGTAGCAGAAAATCCCATTTTGAGCAGATTGCCATGCCCTTCCTATATGGGGTGTCTGGTGATCTGCCAGCATGCGTCATCTGTTGAGACTGGTGTGGCAGCCACGTGCCGTCTCTCCCAGCTCACACAGGGTTCACGAGGGCAGCTTAGCCCAACAGTCACTGGTCTTCCCACAGTGAAAATGTCTCATGTCTCCATCCAGAATTAATGTCTTTCCAGTTTGAATTGTGTTTATTTTGCATGAGTTTGTATCTTGGGTTTCATGGTACGAACCGCCCAAGTCTACACACCAGATTGCTCCACCAAGTTTTCGTATTCTGCTCCTGCTGAATGACAACGTGTGGCATGTGACCTCTCTCCCTGGAGGCATCATGAGACATTCTTTTAATATTTTCCAGAGGTCCAAGAAAATATGCAAGCTAAGCATGTTGTTAATGGCACATGTTGCTCGTGGGTACGTACCACCATATTTTGAAGGATACGTGTGTTTTAACGACCAAATAAACATGTCCCTCCTCTGTTAAGAAGCCGCCATCCCAGGGAAGGTCTTCCTACAACAAAGGACGCAATGGTAGTGTTGTGTAGGCTTTTTGTTCCATGGCCCCGTCCCAGCATATCCTTTGGTGGTGGCTGCTGGGTCCATTTCGATGTATGCCTCTTCCCCAGTAGCAATTTCTCTAGTGGCCTCAGGAGCCCCTAGGACATGGCAGAGGAAGTGGGGGTGAATGGAGACTTGCTCTATTCCGAAGCTGTTTTCTAGACTACTTGGGGCCCCAAAGAAAAAGAGAGTTGAAAAGCACTAGCGAGAGGTCAGAGCATGAGTAGAGGGCTCCCAATGAGGGGCCCTTCGTGTTCAGCTTTCCTGGTTCTTCATGGATTATTAAGCCAAGGGTCCCAGCAGCGCAGTTAGGAGCAGTGACAGTGTCTCCTGTGGTTCTTGGCCCCCTCTCCACCTGCACTGCTTTTCATCATTGCATCTTTTAGCAAAGTATGCAGCAGAATTGTATTAAAGTTCTACCTGCTCTTGATTCCCCTTTCCCTCCCTCCCCTATAAAACTGAGGATCTGCTCAAGGAAACCATTTGCTTAAGCAGTGAGTGTAGGTGGGCTCAAACCCATCCAAAGATCCAAATGAGCTGAGACTTCAGGGCCACAAAACCGGGTTGCATCTACATAGAAAGTCTCCAGAATTCTCAAAACCCTCCAAAACCTTGTACCTGTAATTTGAAGGCATTACCTTCTGAAGTGCGATTTGGAGGCTGAGTCAGTATGGAGCTGAGCTGGGTCTCAGCTAGCTGGCGGTGTTCTTCCTTCTTTCCTTCCTGAGGATGCCCTGGTGCCGGGCTTGTGCTCAAATTCAAATTCAAAATCAAACTCTACTCCAGAGATGTCCGAGGAGACAGTCTGGGAGCCCTCAATTCTCTGCTCTCCACAATGACCTCCTTAGGAAGAGGCTGAGATGGGCTTTATTATGAATGACTCTGTAGCAAACAAAGGCTGGTGTTTACTAACTCCCCTTTGTTGGGGGCTCCTAATTGCCATCATCCTCTGGCATCTCCACCACTCAGCCAACATGCTTGGAGCCCCTGCTAGTTCAGGCCTACCCTGGACTCATACGGGGCTACAGAGAGGGCCAAGACCCCAGTCCCTCTGCTTGAGAACCTACCCCATAATGGAAGCATTGCCATGAAATTCATCAAATGCTATGATGGGAATGCCTGGGAAGCTGTTTTTCCTCTTCCACATAATTTTTTTAGTACCTTGAAAACCTAGCAAACCCCTCATAACAGCAATAGTAAAAAGCACACTAGTCCCAGAACCCCAATCAATAAGCATTCTGCTACCTGCCTTCCCAGGGTAAGGGAGAAGGGTGGTCAGCATATTGGCCCTGGGCTGAGAATCACTAAGTTTAAACAGGAGAGCTTTCTCCAAGCCATTGTTGTTGTTTTGTTTTGTTTTCCCAGCACAAACATTAAAAATTGGATTTAGTTCAAATTGGTAAAATTTGGAAATTTCTGTCTTAATAGTTCAGGCTCTAACCTTGGTTCAAAGGTAATAGAAAGGGGACCTTACAAATTGAATTCCCATATAGGAGGGAAAGAAGCAAGCAAAGTTTGTCCCGCTGCTGCTGCCTTTGCCACGCCATTCAAGGCTCTGTGATTTCATGCAAGGTCATTTCAGGAACAAACAAGCAAATGGCCTGTAGTTTGACCAAAAATCCCAGTGTCTAGTATTCGCACCACAATAAGCTGTAGACTCGGTGGGAAAAAGGACCAGGTTTTGCTGACCTGTGTCTAAAATGCCCGAGTTTTTCTCGCCTCTGTAGCCACCAAAGAACCGTGCTCGTAACCACTTGCTGAATATTACACAGGTACAGTGGTCCTTAGAGTTAGGGCACGCAGGAAGGCAAATACTTTAACGTTTTATTTCATGCCAAGTGTTTTCATTTACCAACTTAAAGCAAGATATTAAACTTTCATTCTTATGGAATACATTTAGTACCAACACCTGTTTTCAGGCTTACTTTCCAGACTCGGCTGCTTTCCTATAAACATATACTTCCAATAATGAAGGCTTATATTATGACTTTATAGTCTGTCCTCAAGGAATCAAGAAAGAAAATTTACAGTATTAATTTTGGTGGTCCTCTACAGGACTCACTGTCTGATTAAAATATGGATCAGTTTAACTGAGTGGTGGATCCTATTATTTAAGGTTCTGGGTTCGGAACCCATAAAGTCCCTTTTCCTAGTAAATCCTGAGGCCGCTGCTGCCCAGCTTGCTTGCATTTTCCCTTCAGCCCGAGGCTCAGGACGTGACCTAGTTTGCCTGGTGTCCTGGGAGCCAAGGTACCCACTTGCTCCTTCGGAATTCTGCTCCTTGCCCATCTGGCTCACAGGGGGACTTGGCCTTCCCAGTCCCACGCCAGCCCTTTGCTTTGAGTCCTGTGATGTTACTTATTCCAGGGAAACAAGAGGATCAAATGGCAACATGGGGAATGACAAAACTAAGAAAGCCCCTTCTCTTCTCATCAACACCGTCCCATCATCTGTCCCCTTCGTTGGGGCCCGGAATAGAAGTGCCACCTCCACCCCAGCTCCTTGGTCCTGCCTGGGATCGCTGGCTTTGATCACAGTAGTCATTCCAATAGTCTAGTATTCTTGTCATCACCTGAAACGTTCTAAACCAGATGGGAAAGGGATCATGGATTTGAATCTCAGTTTTGTTTTATTTTGTTGTTTTTTTTTTTTTTTAGTGATGTGTGAAAAGCAGAATCCAGAAATTCTTCAGCGTTTAGTTTTCCTCTTGATTAAGGGTTTTCAGATTTGCAAACAAACTCTTGAGAAGCCTCTTCAGAAGAGACACTTAAAAGGACCCTGTATTCCTTCTCTGATGGGAAGGATCCCCTTGCGTGTGCCTGACTTCCCTCTCCCATCCATCCACACAGGGGCCTGGGAGTCTAGTGGGAGAAGTTTTAGCAAATGATGTGAATGGTGTCCAAAATGCCCTCAGGACACACTGCTAATACCTGCCCTCTTAATGTATGGGCAAATCACTCTTACTCTAAACACGTAACTAGGAAGTCTCCCCTTTGATTCTTCATACTGAAGATTTTAAAACCCTGTTTTAAACTTCCGTTCGTAATCAACCCCACTCCCACTGTATTCATTTGGATCTCTGAAGTTGGCTTTTGTCAACAGGTAAAAAGCTAAGCTGTTTTGGTTTCCCACCAGAAACGAAGTGGAAAGGCTTGTAAAATAGTTGTTTCTTAGGATTATTAAGTACACATCCTTTGACAATAGAGCTGTCCTTTTTGGCACTGCAGGATCTTGGAAATGTTAACACAAGTTAGGAAGCTATTTAAAGGTAGCTGTATGACTAACACTCCCTCCCACACCCCATCACAGAGGAAGGGCAGTGTTGGCTGGGCTGTATATGAACAGAGTCCTCAAAAACTCAAAAGAGTCCTGTTTTATTTTGTTTTTAAGACTTATTTATTTATTTGAGAGAGAGAGAGAAAGCATGCAGGTTGGATGAGCAGAGGGAGAGGGGGAGAGAGGGATCCTGAGGCAGACTCCCCACTGAGCATGACGCCTGACACGAGGCTTCATCCCAGGACCCCGAGATCATGATCTGAGCCAAAATCAAGGGTCGGACGCTTGACTGACTGAGCAACCCAGGCTCCCCAGTAGTGGTGGTTTTATTACAAGTATGGTAACATTAAACAGCTCAGGATGGGACACCTGGGTGGCTCAGTCGGTTAAGCATCTGCCTTCAGCTCAGGTCATGATCCCAGGGTTCTGGGATAGAGTCCTTGCATTGGGCTCCCAGTTCAGCAGGGAGCCTGTGTCTCCCTCTGCCCTTTCCCCTGCTCATGCTTGCTTTCTCTCTCTGTGTCTCTCTCTATGAAATAAATAAATGAAATCTTAAAAACAACAACAACAACAAAAAAACCCAGCTCGGGATGTTTCTATGCCAGCATAGGTGTTGTCCTTACACTTGGTCAGCCCTTTAAGGTTTACATATTTCTCTGAAAAAAGGAAAGAGTCTTATACAAAATATACCAGTTTGATACAAGGTCTAGGAGGTAAGAAATTAGTCCTTAACAAAATGACTCAACAGATTTGAAATTAAGTTTGTTTTTCACAAATAACTTTCTCGTTGCAGGTCAACGGCTAGGGAGTATGCTCTGAAAATCATCAAGAAAAGCAAATGTCGAGGCAAAGTATGTATAAGGCTTATTGTTGTGGAAATACAGTGTTGCGGGGGTGGGAGGTAGAAACACAGAGCTCAGTTCCCAAATAAACATAAATTTATCCTAGGACTTGCATTTTGATGGAATACAATGTTATATATTTAATGGAATATAACTTTATAAATATTCTTGGAATAAAAGTTAGGAGGAATGATTGCATGTTATTTCTGTTCCTTATTGTTGGTTTGCTTGTTTTACTTTCTTAATTTACTTTTGTGATCTGAGTTTCATTCCATCCTTCTATATGCAGTTTTAGTTCTACTGATAGGTCGTAAGCATCCTCTGAGGACCACTTTTGGTAATTCTAGGCTGAGTATCAGAATCTCAGACATACTCATTGTATTCTACCCAAACATAGCTCCTTTGATCCTCAGAAAACACAGCTGCACTCTTGGAGTTAGCTCCTCATGTGTTGTGATGTGTGTATTAATTAAGGTAACTTTTCGCTTAAACAGGAGCACATGATCCAGAATGAGGTGTCTATTTTAAGAAGAGTGAAACATCCCAATATTGTTCTTCTGATTGAAGAGATGGATGTGCCAACGGAACTGTATCTTGTCATGGAGTTAGTAAAGGTGTGTATCTTGGAAAAAGAATAAACCCACACAAGGCACCGTGCTTTCCTATCTGATAGAGGGAGCTGTTTCCTTTGTTTCCTTCCACCAAAGTTTAGTCTCTCCTTTCTGTGTATTGGCCTAACGATTAAGAGTATGAACACTAGAATGAGACTGCAAGCATTCAAGTCCCAGCCTAGACCATTATAGCTTTCTGACCTTGGGTATACCTCTCTGTACCTTAGTTTCCTCAAATGTAAAATGAGATGAATAATAGTACCTACCAGGAGTGTTATGGTGAAGATAAGATAAGAGGGATGACTTATACCATGTACTTTTTTTTTAAGGAAGGTGGAGAGGGGCAGAGAGAGGGGGAGAGGAAAAGAAGCAGACTTCCTGCTGAGCACAGCACCCAGTGTGGGGCCCGATCTCATAGCCCTGAGATCATGACCTGGGCCAAAATAGAGAGTTGGACGCTTTACTTGACTGAGCCACCCAGGCGCCCCCACTAATGTACTTTCTAATACAACAGAAGGTACTAGGTACCAATATGATCATTGTTTTTAATCATTGCTATAGAAATTGTGCCCTTTTTTGTGAACTACATCCAAAGGTATCATTCTTATTTAAAAAAAAAAAAAAAAGCTTTAAACTTTTACTCACCAATGTCAGAAAAATAGCACTAGAAAATACTCAGCTGCCTTTCAGTAGATGTTACAACCTTGTCCTGTCACATAAAATTATATCTGTATTTTATTAGATCATAGAATATAGATATATTGATAATGGCTGTATCGACGTGAAAGGTGACTCACCTATTCCTTCTCTTTTTATATTTAAAATTTTCAGTAACTAAATTTTCAGTAACTAAAAATTTCAGTAACTAAAAATTTAATATGTAGGATTCATGACGTGCTATTTTTCTCAAGCCTTTTTTCTATTATGTTAATCTAACTGAAGGTGTAACTAATTTCTACTTTAGTTGTAAAATGTCGTAAATTAGTCACACCACCCTCTGCATCAACTGTGTGCACCCGTCAGTGAGAGCCTCGGGCTCCAAACCGTGTTTGGAATCACACGCCCCAGCTGGTGGCAGGAATCAGCTCTGGGGAATGTGGCATTTCCTGCTGTAAAGATTTAAGACAAAATCAGCATGTAATAAACTAATCTGTTACTATATAGAAAAAAGTTCATTCGAGGATCCTTTAAGCTTTTATTCAGAGTTGTTTTACTTTAGATCTTTTGGCCTTTTTTTTTTTTAAGGTGCTTATTCATATTTACAAATGAAGCTTACTTTTTTCCTACTTCGTGTTAGGATTTGTTTCTTTTGGAGGAGTGGGACTTGTTTATAGTGACACAAAGGTATTGTCACCTTTGAGACCAAGGGAGGTAAATATGGAAAACTGTTACTTCAACAAAGAAAGATTGATTTCAATTATTCAGAAGATTTTCATATTGGTGCCTTATGGCCAAATAAAGTTTGGTAATTACCAATATTGTAAAATACACTTTCTCTAGCACCCAGGATAATATTTTTTACAGTGACTTTAATTTTGAGAGCAACAAATTCCCATCATTCCTGTTGCCTTTCTGTGTGCTGTTAAAAATTGATTAGTCTCCTTTTATTGGCTGATCTTTGAAGAGTGAAGACTAACTTAGATTTGAACCTGAGAAATGAAAGAGGCAAAGGCTTAAGAGTTCAGAACACATTGTGGTGGGAAAGCCTAGTCTGTCACTCATATGTGTAGCCAGGTGACAATAGCTAAGTTATCACTGGGAGGTCCTCGCTTCACTCAACAGCCTTTTGCAAATTCCCTCCGGGTGACCAAGAGAGCCTAACAAGGCCAGAGAATGTCCAGCTTCCGGACTCCTCCATTGTACCACCAGATCATACCCTCAAATCTGGCTGACCCAGAACTGCTTTGAGGCCAGCTCTGGAAGCACCCCAAGAAGTGAAGGCCAACCCCGGGCTTGACTTGAAAGGCTCCCACAGTGTTTGCCCCTGAGAAATGTAGCAGAGGTCATGCTTCTCAAGAGTCCAGTGGTGTCCACGGAGTGCCTGCAGCTATAGGATAAACAAGGCCTGTATTCTGGAAAACAGTGAAGTAGCAATAATTATGCATGAAATTCCGTAATTAATAAGAACAGGTCTCTGTATTGCCGCCTGCAGCTGTGTGCACATGCACATTACATACGTGTTCAGAGGAAGGCAGGCTTCGTGGGGGAGGCGGCCCTGCGGCCAGGCCCTCACCGATCAGCAGGGTCACGGGTCTAGCTAGTGGCAGGAGACGCAGTGAGACAGGTTGGCATGAAGGTGGGCACCGGGACATGGAAAGCCACGGGAAAGGAACGCCCGCTTCCTGAAGGGAGGAGCAAAAGGCCAACATCAGCGCGTTGGCTGGATGCTGTGAATAAAGAGACCGGAAGCAGCGTAGGTTCAGAGGCCGCCTGAGAACCAGCGAGGGCGAGCGCAGCCCAACCGCTTAGGCAGCAGATGGGGCGGACTGGCTGTGTACGCGGTTGGCTGCGTCGTTGGGGATGCGGGAGATGTGCGGTGCCAGGATGCCTGCAGCCGCCCTCCACGGCTAGGACGGCTGCGGTGTCGTGGCGGGGTCACCACCCACAGCTGCACCCCCGCCCCACTGCGCTGCGGTGCTGTTCATGGAGACCCCAGGGAAAATGCCGCCTCCAGGCGAGGCCCGCAAACAACCTGGAAACCCGCCTCTGGCAGCCTTGCCTTTGAGAGAAACAGCGGAGGACGCGTCCCTCGTGACTCACGTGTGTGTGTTCAGGCTGGGGACTGCGGAGGCCGAGCGGACCGCGGGAGACGCCTCCCGAGCGGAGGTGGTGCGGGGCCACGGAGGCCAGGCCTGCTAGTGAGATCTGGAAACTGCCACCCGCAAGGCCTATATTTTGCTCTTGCTATTTAAAAAACAAAAATGAAACCCCTCACATTAGGCAACAGACGAACACAATTGGCTCCCGTGCTCAGCTGTTTGGCGCATTGTGTGCAAGAATGATGCAAACGTTGTTAGTAAATCGTACCCCAATTTCTGAAAGAGTTTCCAATAAAGAGAACTAAAATTGGAGCCTAAAATTGTTCTGTTTCTCCAAATAACAAGAAGTTAGCCAGGAACAAGGGAAACAAAAGTTCAGATGAATAATGGTCCTAGAAAACTTCCTTTGAAATTTCTCCACCCTCCTCCCTCCTCTCTTTTCTCTCTCATCTTTGGAATGACAGTTTCTGGTCCTTTTCCCTGCTCCTTACAAAGAAGCACATTATTGGAAAAGAAAACACTGCACCCACTCCAAGAGAGCGCAATTTAGGGAATGAAGGGAACTGAGTGTGTGTGTGTGTGTGTGTGTGTGTGCGTGTGCGTGCGAACTTCATAAGGCAGCTGCACATTTTGTTAAGGGTGTGGTCTGCTGGATTACCTGTTTCTCATTTGGGGAGGCTTGGGATTACGAACTTTTGCTCACCGTTGGTATGAGGCGTGTCACACATGCCAGCAGGGCACCCCAGGGTCACCAGGCCTCTGCCCTGGAGACCTGGCTCCACCTCTCCTCCCCAGCTGGGGCCAAAGAGATGACTGCATGTCCGATGGCATCACAGCGGGGAGACAATCACCAGATGAAGGCTGTGGGCCTTCAAGGGGGAAGTGGCGGGGAGAGCCCTAGGAGCCCAGAGATGCTGCGCGCTTCTCTGTCTCCTTGAGAATGTGTCAGTTGCCTCTCCAGGCGGCCCCCCTGGACCATCTGCTAATTGCTGCTCCTCCGGCTGTTCTCTTCTCAGGGAGGAGACCTCTTTGACGCCATTACTTCAACCAACAAATACACGGAGCGAGATGCCAGCGGGATGCTGTACAACCTGGCCAGCGCCATCAAGTACCTGCATAGCCTGAACATCGTGCACCGGGACATCAAGCCAGAGAACCTCCTGGTAAGAGCGATTCGAACCTCACACGTCTTGAGTCCCAAGCACTCATGAGTGAATATGAATTTTATTGTTCCTTTCTTATTTTCTTTTCTTTCTTTTTTGAAAAGAAATATACTTTAAAGGCTACTTTCCAGTTGGACTGGAGTAGCTGGAAATGAACCTCAAGTGTATCCATAAGGGTTAATGTGCTGTTAGGAGGACTTGACTAATTATTAGCAAATAAGAACCAGAGACAGGGTTGGGGGAATAGAGCTTGGGAAATCTAGGGCTATGGGTAACACCCTAGGCTAGACCAAGATAGTCAGGAGGAACATTTATGTGTAGGTTTATTTCTCTACAGTACTTTGATGTCCAAAGTTTTTACTTGGGGGTGGGGGGGGGGGGGGGGGAAGCTCTCAGCCTCCCAAATGTACTTTCCAACAGTATGATCTAAAAGCTAAGACAATAAGTCATGAGTTTTAAAGACACCTGCCTTTCAACATAAAAATAATCATGATGAAGACAGATTTTAAAAATCAGGGACACCCCTATCCCCCTTTATGACTATTTATTTTGCTTTTCATGAACTCTGTGTCTCTGGGGGAAACACTTAGAGTTCTTTACGCAAACAAATGGGGATGCTTTCATAGTCCAGTTGTTAAGGGGACAGTACTGGAAAGAATTGAGGAGACAGGGACTGGGCATCGGGGAGCTGTCACTGGTGAATATGGGAGTCACATCAATTTTGCTGGCTATCCAGGCTGGAATTTTAATGAAATCTCTTCATTTTCTTCCCCCACTCCACCCTGCCCCAAGATGCTAGTTTTCTTTTACTATCATTACCCAGGCCTGAGAATCATGTATTATATATTACTGTTAGTTTGTCCATCTCTTCAGAAATCCAGGAATTGAGGATTCTCTTTCAAAGGCAGTACTTCTCCAAGGGTGGTCCAAAGATTCCCTGCTTCTCAACTATTCCCAGATGCCTGTTAAAAATGCAAATTTCTGAGCCTCCCTGCAGCCCTAGCAAATCAGAATCTGGTGACTGGTGACAGGGTACAGATCTTCCTTGAAACAAGCTCCTCCACATGACCCAAATGAGCATTCAGGTCTAGAAGCAGATGAGCAAGCCAACTCCCCCACCACAAGAAGGGCTGATGAGGTCTGCTAAGATGGCGACCCACCCATGTGCTTGCCCTGAGTGCTTTTACACTCATGATCTCATTTAATCCTCACAACAATGGGATAGGTTCTATTACCATCCCATTTTACAGGTAAGGAAACTGAGTGCCTACAAGTTAAAGACCTATGGCTACGTAAAGCCATTATAACTCATATGTGGAAGAACTAAGATTTCAACCTAGCTGTGTTCTACTTCAGAGCCCCAAATTTTAACCACTAGATGACATGAAGCTGTGCATTAGGGAGGTTTATTGTGGGCTGGCTCTGTGCCAGGTTGTGACAGGGAACAGAGAGACCAATGCCTTCATGGAGTTGACATTCAAGTAGGAAAAATAGGCATTCAGGAAATAAATACGCAAGCCGTTAGTTCGCTGTAATTATGTTCGTAAACTTGCAGCTACTGGCTAATGAAGGCAGTCGAGGTCAAGCGATGGATCTCTGACTTAATTGCCCCTCAAATTCCACATCTCTGCAGTAGCCCAAACATTCTCTTCTGCATAGTTGCCTCCGTAACCTGCAGCAATTTTCTCTTGTCTGCATTCATTATTCCTGTGTCCTGAATTATGTAGGATTGTCTCGTGGGAACAGACTCACAATTGGCCTTTGTTTCAAAACTTCTCTAAACCCCCAAAATTCAGTGATTGAAAATTAAACTTTCGTTCCCCCCCCCACCCTTTACAGTCTGGTTTTGCATGACATCGTCCACTTATTTCTTACTGGAGCGTGGTCTGTTTCTGTAAATCCCACACATGATTACTTAGCAATGTAGTTTTTCTAAAATTACAATTTTTTTTTACAAAGTGCTGGACACTTTGAAAATATTGTGCTCATTCTAACATATTTTACTTTCTTATCCAGAAAGAAAAAAACTTCACTCTTTTTTTTTCCTTTCTCTTCTAATGTGAGAATGTGAAACACACGCACACTATTAAAGGCATTTACAATATTGGTTTAAAAAGTATATATGAACTAAAGTAATTCTGCTTCTCCAGTATAGTCATTTTTACTCTCAGGAAGTATTAAGAGTTGGTGAGCTTTGCAGGGATCAATCTATTATAGTATAAAATAAGTAGAAGAATAGAAGAACGTGAACAGAATTAGGATGACATTACTAATTGAACTTGAGACTTTCTGTTGAACTTTATGTGGAAATAAGAGAGAATCGTCATGGGAAGCACATTCACATCCCAAGGATTTATAGTCAGATGGACCAAAGTTCAAAACCAAGTGCTTCACTCTTCCAGTGGCTGGTCTTATGACCTTGAACAAGTTTCTTAACTCCTTTGAGTCTCCTTTAGGGGGATTTTATGAAGATAAAGAGATAACAAGGAACTATTAGCTTCCCACCTTTTTATTCCCTTTTATTTGTAATAAAAATTAAATTATTCCTAAAAATAAAACTGTTTCACAACAAATTATGTTGTAAAAATCATCTTGCATCTTTGACATTGCTTTTAAAATTTTACTGTTCACCCATGCATGGATTTGACATCTCCTCACAAAATGTAGAGCCGGAGACTATTTTTAAAAAATGCTATGACAAATTTCATGTAAAGATTTCAAGTCCATTTTCTTACTACCAAATAAATAAATTTACCAAATAAATAAAAAAGCCTCACTACACACTTTGCATTACTCTTTTATTAAGACACCTCAAAAAAGCCTAAGTTGTTGGATTGCTAATAAGATTTTTGCCAGTTAAGTGTTGTTTGTTACAGCTAGCAAAGTATTATTTCTAAATGTCTAATTCAGCTATAAATTCCATTTTATGTAGTATCATATATGTAGAACTTCAGAATTTTTTATTTTTAATTCTTATAGAACTATATAAAAATATTGTAGCTGGCCTTAAGGAGCTATATAGATCTATTGAAGTCTAAGTATTTGTCAGGTCAAGGTCTTTTAATGAGAAAACATGATTTATAGTGATGTCCAGCCACATTTGGTGCAAAAACTGGGAATTGACCCAATATAAATACCCGCTATAATTTTATTATTGTATCACTTATAAGTTTTTGTCTGGTTTGTTTTGTGGTTTTTTTGGTCACAAGTTATGCCAGTGACCTTACATGGTTCTTTCTGCTTTGTCAGGCCTGGAGCTTAATGATCATACGGATGAGTGGCCAGTGGGATGAGAGGGTGGGTGAGATGAAAGAGTGAGTGAATGAGTGACACTTCTCCACAGACTAGAGGACAGACCCATCATGACAAGGTCCAAGCCATTCTTCAACTCATCCATTACACGGAGGGTTCACATGGGCCTTAATCTAAATGCCACTGACTGGGGGAAGTGAAGTGTTTCCCCAGCTGTGCTTACACCCAGGACCTGTGTGTGTGTGTGGTGGTGGTGGTGGTGGTGGTATATAACTAAAAGAGACTTTTTGTTTTTTAAAAAACAAAACCACCAAAACCGTCCTACTGAGATCAACCACCTTTTTTTGGACCATCAGTTTGCAGCAGTCACCACTAGATGGCAAGCTTGCACCCTTGGCAGGAAAAATTATCAGAAGCATCCTGAGTTTTCTCCTAAGGAGCTGGGAGGGTCTTTTAAAATGTATACGCAGGTGCCACCTCCTTAGGAAAGTTAAAGTATTTACTGGCAAAAATATAACTTGCATCACTAGTTTTTATTAGATTCTAGAAATAAACAGTAATTTTCTTTTATATCAAAGTTTATGTTCAAAAAACTTTTTCCTTCTACACTCCCCAATACTCTCTGGGAGAAAACAGTTTCTCAGAGAATCTGCCTGTCTTGGTCAGAAATTTTCTTTTAGAAACTTTCTGTCCAGGTGTTTGTACCTGCTCCTGACTGCCCATCAAAATGGCATGCCTAGCACAAAACCCTCATTTTCACTAAATGGATTGTACGTGGCAATAAGATATCGTGTTCTCTCCAAGTGATGACCGTGCATAACCTAGGGATGATGTGCTCCAGCTCCTCTTGGTTTCCAGATCAAGCCAGCCCCAAGCCCATGAGATGGCAGATTTCCTTCAGCCATTAATCTCCAAATAAATCCATTTTGTGGCGAAGTAGCTAAGTACACTGGTACACAAGGCAAGTGCCACAGATAGACTGCATCTAGAAGTCATAGGCAGAAGCACAGTTGAGTAGATCTATAGTCGGTCCACTTATGATCTTATGGTCTTATGATCTCGAGCCAGCAGAGTGTTGATTAATGGTTGGGGGACCTAGAAGAAGTGAACCAAGGACCCTCAGGATTCTGTCACTGGCCCAACCCCAATCAGCACTAGTGATGTGAAATGAAGATGTATTATAGCAAATGACAGACTTGAGAACCAAAAGTATCTTTGGCTCTGTGATGGTCCAAAATCAGTAAGATGAAATTTGACAAGAGAGACATATAAATCCCAATGGACTAAGTGGTTTTGGTGTAGTTGTTTTAATGACCATTGTAGAAAAGCAGTAATGGAAAACTTGGCCAGACCATGTCAAAGGCTATTAGCTGAGCATAAGTTCAGGGTGAGCCTTAGTGGGATATAACTGCTAAAGAAGTACCCCTAGATTCCTTTCCCTGGAAGAGTGTTGCCATCAAGAGGGTCCTCTGCCTTGCTCACACCAGTTACCACTATGCGGAGGAATGTGAGCACGTCATGTCAGAGGCCTGGAGTTTAGCCCGCAGAAGGGAAGGAGAAAATGGAGCATGGAGGCTCTGGTCAAATATATGAAACACTGCCAGATGGGAAATGGGAAACCTTTTCTGTGCTGTATTGAACTCCAACTAAAGAGAAGACATTCGTGGATGAGAGATTCGAGGTTGATGTTTAAGAAAAAACTTTCAAACAGTTGTACCTGTTTGCAAATTAAATGGCCTTTATTATAT